TGATTCCAAGCGATTCTACCAGTTTCATCGGATGGACTAATTTTCTAATCTTTTTTTTTTTTTTTTTAGCTTTTCGAGCTTTCAAATGGTCTAGGTTTGGACTCAAAGGCGTGCATTATAATACACGTGTTATAATACAGAAGATGAAATACAGAAGATAGAAGTTTATTCCAAGTGTGCAGCCCTGAATGTTACCGAAACTGCACCACTAAAATTTTAGCCCTATTGCTTTTATATTTTGAGAACTGATTATTCCACGGACGGAGAGGAACTGATACCCTTGCGCACCTGCGGTGCATACACAAAAAAACACGCAAAATGCTTGTACTCAGTGAACATCGACTGAATAGCAGAGAAGCAGTTTAGCAACTTCGTAATACCAAATCATTAATTATTCCTCCAAAACTACATCTGAAAAGGGAAATTCTTTGCTTTTTAACAGAACCTGTTTGTTTAATGTGTTTGGGCCACTTCTTCCAGAATCTTTCAACCGATCATCTTTGTTGTAGGTACCTGAAGGAATTTGATACTGGCTGGCATTTACGAGTTACAACAAGACCACCCGAGCAAGTGGTACCAACGAGAAAGAAAACGACCACTCGAACAATTTCAGCACCTACATGAAACAGATGGCGGGTAGTTAGTACCAACATCTGTCCCATGTCTGCATGGGTGAGCAACCAAGTGGTCGTTTACTTTCTCGTTGGTACCAGCAGTCGCCAGTGCAGAATGCCTTTCCAAGTAGGCTTATCAAGTTTTAGATGAGAGCAGAGTTTGCGAGTATTCTCTGATGAGTTGCTGAAGCATTTCTCAGCTTCACCTCGTACGTTTTAAAATTTTTTATGCTTTGAGTAGTTTGAGAGAAACAGCAAGTACAAACTGTATGAAATATTTGAAGATCACACACAAACACACATACATAATTTCAATGTAAAATTTGTAGCACCGAGAAGAATGAGGAGGGCAGGTGAGGCGGCGATAGTACAATGGATGCGGCACCGAGGGGTGCAGGGAAGAGACGTTGCCGCAAATGACCCTGTGTGACCTGTTTCCGCACTTCGTTTAACACATTTTACCTTGTTTCCATTTTACTACAGTTTTGCACGCCCCACGGGACTGGTCCTTTCCCGCACTCTATTAGTCCGGCAAATCAACAGCGCTTAAATGATTAATTTTTGAGGGGTTAATAAATATGCGGAAGAAGGAGCTGACTTCGTATTTGCCACTTCGGTGCTAGAAATGGACTTATTCGAAATTATCACAGATCACAGCTGGACTGTGATGGGCTTATTCTAATAAAAAGAGTGAAAATGACTGTTGCTGTTGCTGCTGCCCTAAATGCGCGCTCTGGCACACGGAGCATGCGATGAGTCCGAGCAAACCGGTTTCCAGCATCACTCAGTATAACAATGCCTTTTCGGACTTCTTGTGAGTTTTGTTCTTGTGTTTAGGCAGGTTCCATAAGCTAGTGTCTAATCCTTATATTAATAGAAAAATTCCCCTGCGCTTATAGTAGCACGCCAAGCACTTGATGCACGCAGACCGCTTTCCATTTGCCTTACATTCAGCAGGGTTCCATTGATATTCTCACTAACATGCGGCCGTTCAGTTACTCAGACCACAATTGATCCTCACGGCCCTCTCCTCTCGCCTCACTCCTTCCTCGTCCCTCTCTTCCACGCGCCCCTCCCCTATGTCATTTTGGAAGCGAATCCACGGACAAGTTGGATTTTGATTTTATGTTATCGATTCACTTGAGGTACAATTAACTTGCCCCTTAGCAAGCGCCAATTTCTATCGCCTCTAAATTCGCTGTAATTTTGGATTCGCTGAAACTGTGGATAAAATGTAATAAAATAAGAAACCTATAAAATAGATTGTTGAGGTTACCGTTATTCTAAATTAAGTTCGCCGGAGCTTCTAAATTGAATTAAGTTCGCCGGGGCTTTGTGTTTCGATGTTGTTGTGGAATTCGATGTTATTACTATATATGGCTTGGGAATGCGCCAGTTATCTTGCACTTGTCATGAACACATCACCCGTTGATGACCGATCAGTGTGAAGGCACGCTTATGTACGTTCTTTATTGTGAAGTGAACAGCTGAATTCGAATTAGCGGTAGCCTTGATTATCCAAAAAATGGCTGCTTTTGCAGTAAATGTAATAGATCAGATTCAAAATCCTGATTTTCGAAAAGTTAACAGTGAAATGGCACTCCTAGTGTCGAATCCTGGACTTTCACTGCACTGATTATCAGCGGAGCAATGGTACTCAACGATCACAAATGATTGAAGAAGTCGGAATGTGGTGCTGGTAGTGGACGCCTTCGATCGTGCTCAACTGGTACTGTAGGCACACCCCGAATACCCGTGATGTTAATTCCGTACAAGTCGCTATCATCTGCCCGATCTCGGTTATCTGCCAGCATTGATGTGTTTTCGGCTAACACGCTTAAATGAGATTCCGTTGTTTTCACGGGTTCCAAACGTCGTGGAGGTAAAAAGCTACCAACAAAGCCGTCTCCTGAAAGACATTTTTGTTTCGAATACAAGAAATAAACCGACTGGAAAACCAAATTTTATTAGTGCCTATGTTTAGAATCATAATAAACAACTAGGCGCACCAGATGGTCAGCGAGATAATGAGTTTTGCTTAATTCTCTTCAGTGAAGCTCGAAAGTTGCTGACATCTTTTTCTTAACTGGCTTCTCACATGCCTGCACGTGAGATCTATGCATAGGTGAGAGCTGAATTTAAATTTGCGGAGTCGCACATAGGCAGGAAACATCATTCTAAAATTTTAGCTTCCTAGCTCTTCTGGTTGCTGAGTTGAAAATCAAGACACACAAACACAGGATCTGGAAAATGTGCTTTTTGCATCGCTATTATAGCATTAAACGCTTAAGAAATCTTAATCCTGATTTTGGCTTAATAGAGGAAAAGCTTGCTGAACAGTTAATTAAGTCCGCTAGCCGAATGGACGCATGATGCTTGCATCACTGGCTAGCAATTTCGCAGTCTCATGAGAGTTACTAGGGATAATCGGCTGAACACAGTTTTTTGAACCGACAATCAGTGAGCTTACAATTTTTTCTTTTCGCATAAAAAAACACATTATACTGATAGCACGTCCATGAGCGTCCGTATGCCCTTCTGCCCGAAAAAATTCATTACCAAATGAATGAGGCAAAGTGCGAATTTTTGGTGCATTTTATGCATGGTGCGAACTCTGCGTTTAAAAAAACCAGTTGAAAGAGCAGAAAATCACAACTGTCCTCTTGCGTTTGTGGCTGATTGTTTTTCCCTGTGTCAGGAAGCCCAAAACAAATTAAAGAAGAGGCCTCTTAGCATAGACGTGCTCATAACAGCAACTGAGTTAAAGATAAAAAGTAGAGTGGGATGGAGGCAAGACGAGGGGGGCTTCCTTCATAAAAGCGCAAAAGCAACATTTTGAATGTGATGACATAACGCTGAAATGTTATTAAAAATATGAGGAATCATCATTTGTCAATATGTTTCTGCTTTAAAGTGCGCCAGAGCTAGTTTCCGTATTTCTAGAAAATTTGTTAAAATGTATCTCCTCAAAGAGTTTAATTATTAGGAAGAGGAAATTTGGCAAGCAAATGAATTTCGATGGTACTAATTTTGTACATAGCCGGACTTTCACTTTGAATTGCTCAAAAATGAGTGTTGTTATTTGAAGCACTTTTTTTTTCAGTGAAATAAAAACAATTTTAGCAGATATTCACATGCATGGTTCAGAATTCATCGAGCTCATACCATTAACGTTCTTGGAACGGATAGGTGGCAGTGGCGGTCTCCTGTACGGATCCAAATTACTCGCCGAATTTTGGCGCATTCGCCGGAGATCGTCTTGCCTCTCAAACACTGATTTTGGGCAGCAAAACATCCACCTATAATTTGGTATAGTTCTAGCAAGAAACGTTCAGAGAAAATGGTAACTTCTAAAAGGCGTACGTCGGGCCCACGGTTTTTTTTTTTTTCAAAGCAAACTCAGAAATGTGCCCTTAGATTGCTTCTAAGCAACCCTTGAAAGAGGGTATCATCGACAGCCCTTTCCAGCGATTGGTTGCTTTTGGCACGTGTTATAATTCGTGTTACTTTACGAGCGTTTCCACTTCTTACAAAGAGCGAAACGGAAGGAGTTTTGACTTTTGAACTGCTATTCCGTATAAAAAAGTTTGAAGTAATAAAACTGCCTAGAACATGGCATTAATTATTACAAAAATGCTGCCATAAAATGCTTGTAAAGCGGCTTTTCTTAAAAAAACAAAAACCAATTCATCAGTGCGAAGCATCGCTGTTATCAGTCGTTTTCTACATACACAGTATAAACTCAGTAGCACACAAAAAGTTATCAATCACCTAAGCTTATCATAAATTTTGTATTGTACAGATCTCTTGTAAAATAATTTTTATCTTTTTGCACTGAGTGTTTTTCACAGTGCGAACTGTGTTCCGCCAAAAATTAATCAGCAAAATAAGCTCAAAATTAAACTTCTCAGCTTTAAGGTTTATACCAAACAGCTGGCCCTGAGCATGTTTTCTAAAATTAATGGAAGCTTTTGTTCACAAAATTGGTCCCAAAGATAACAAAGAATCAGGAGGTAATGGGACTGAAAGATTCGATTCCCTCCCGCTCCAAATCGTTTGCAGAATGGATCTCCGCTCGAGATATGATATACTACTCGAGATTCTGGAGAGAAATGAATTTTAGACTGAAATGAATTTTAGATTTACGCTGTCTCGGAAATAAACCTCTGAAATTCTATCTTCTAATTTTGGCTGCAAGGGGACAATTCGGTTTCGGATCACCAGTGAAGATAATAGCCTAATATTTTTTGGAGCTGAAGTCTCGCATGTATGCCATTTTATGCATTTTGAAGTTGAAATCTCATGTGTACATTAGTTAATTAAAAGCCTGAAGTATGCTTCCAGGCCTTCTAATTTTGTTTCCAGGTGAGCTTATTATCCGAGATGATGCAAGCTAGGAACTCAAAAGCGCTAAGTAATGAACGCCGGCAAATCTACTTTAACACAATGCCTTTTTGTCTATAAAAAAAACACACACAAAAGCAGTGAATGATCGCAACAAACTGAACTTACTTGGGCCACATGAACTGTGCTATGCTGTCAGAAGATCCAATGATTTGCTGGTCACTTGCACTTCTCCGTCCCAGCAGTTTCCTGAATGCCTCTTCATCAGAAATGAGTTGCTATTTTGATGGGAAATTTGCTTTTGAGGCAAGCTAGTGATATGCAAGAATCAGCATAGGGTGGCACGAACGTGAAAAAGTTACCTCCTTTTCCAAATGAGATAAGTGAGGATGCTGACCATAAGGACTACTATAAGTGATCCAGCAGCACCAACTAGAACCCACTTGAGCCATGGAATTTCTTCTGAAAATCTATAATATGACAAATCAATACTACTCAGTTCAAACCAAGAAGTTGCAAAATTGCCTCAGTTACTTTTTGAAAAGATTTGCAGTCGGACCTCGGAGCTTTGTGACCATTGCTGCTGATGGCCAGTTTAATTCTCTAACAAAATGCTTGCTGCCTTCGAAGTCATTTTTCCCAGTTGCAGTTTTTCTTTCAAAACCAACAGTTTCAAAAAGCAACCCTCATTATGACAACCTGTTGCAGATGGACAGTGGGCAGTCACGCATGTGCACACAGGACGCTGTTACGCTTCATCATGGTGGTCATTTGTCCTACCCGGTGCATGAAATAACATGATAATATTGGACCGTAACCTGCTAAGTGTACCTCCATCTAAGTGTTACCTCCACCGTAACATACTCCTAGAATTTCGACTTTAACTGTTATCAGTTTCCCGACTGCGGAAATTCTCCACAAAAATTTCACGTTCCCATGCGTGAACTTTAGAAGTACGTAAAAGCCGAATTTAAACTCACCGGAACGCATATGAGCAAGAAGATTCTCCCAAAATTTAAACTTTCCAGTTTTTCTGACTGCTGGGTTAAAAACCTCAGACAAAAGTCCGAACACATACAACACGTGCACACAGACAGGGTTTTCACAAAACGCGTTTCGCTTACCGTTCCAGGCCAAAACGTCAGAAAATGTATGGAGATTACAAGGACCACCCGGAGTTTTGGTATGGAACTCCACTGTTTCTGGGCTGTACCCAGCGTCGGGCTCTGTTCAGAGGTTGTCCTTAAAAGGAGTCATTTTTAAAAAAAATTTCTGATTCAATTATCAATGTAAAAAAATAAGATTTCTGTTGTGGTATTCTGAAAGAATAGAAAAATAGAATCGATGATTCCATTTTCCTACTCTTTCAGAACGCCGTGGACAACGCTGAATTGATACCGAAAATCTTCCAGAGATCACTGGCAAATACGGGACTGTTTAGCGTCGTGTTGGTGGAGTCTGAGGAACCGCTGTTGCTAGTTTTCGTTGTGGTATTCTGAAAGAGCAGAAAAATGGAATCATCGTCCGGAGCCCAAGTATCCGATGTTAGCAGCGTTATCACCGTTGCGGTACTCGTAGCAACTGCATCCACCGTGTGGTCCTCGTCTGCAAACACTGTTCCATTGTCCATTCGCCTCGGTCAATTCTCCATAGGCAATCCTGAAATAAACGCGACTTGGTTGTTTGGTATGCTTATAGTTCATCAAAATCCACATAGATCGTGAACGGATTGGAAAGAGCAAGCAATGCTAGGAAATATATGAAAATACACATTTAAGCCAGGTTATCCTGGAGCACTGCGCTTGTACGTTGGACGAAGCAGCTGAAATGGCTCGAAATTTGCTAGTACTTAACAGAGACTACATGTTGTGTTGCATGAGTGATTTTCACGTGAAAGACAGCAACACTCCAGATATCGCAAAGACTTTTAAGCATAAATGCAATGGCGTAAATTTTAACTTTATTTTCAACTTAGCCAAGTATCCTCTTTTTATGCGTTTTTTGCAGCAATACAATGCGAAAAACGCATATTGACGAGAGATTGTCTGTGTGTGTGTGTGCCTGTGTGTCTGTGTGTCCGTGTGTGCGTCTGTCAAGGTTTTTCATCTCAATACCTACAAAAGCTACGGGGCTGAAATTTTGGGGACTTAATCTACATGCACGTACGGGCCCCAATCTCCAAAATTGGCGCCAAACCTCGCGTGATGCCCGCGTACGGGCCCCCCAAAAATTTTTCCCGCGCAAATCCATAACTCGGGGTTCTGAGACGCTAGAAAGCTGAAATTTTAGGGGAATGTTCCCCGTCCAAGCAGG